AAAGGGACAGGCACGGGGGCTTGGGGGAGCTTTGGGGAGCTGGAGAGGTGATGGGGCTCCAGGCTGCAGAGGTGGGGTGGGGGGGCAGGCTACTGGGGACTGCTCCTTGGCACCAGCCCGCTAGAGGAACCCAGCCCAGCCTGGCCCAGCTGGGTGCTCACCTCCTGGGCGCCAGCTTTGCTGTCCTCCCATCCCCTCTCCCTGGGCCCTGAGGATGGCCAGCACCCAAGCCACGGAGTAACACTGCCAGCCTGGCTCGGGGGGCCTGGGGGAGGCCACACCCAAAGTGCTCCTGTGACCAGGAACTTGCTCTCTGCTCTAGTGTCCCCTCCTCCTGGGAGGCCTGACGCCACCTTACCGAGGCCTGTGGATGGCTGGGGCAGTGGGACAGGAGCTAGGTCCCTACCTGGGGAGGGGTGTGCAGGGGCTCTCACTCTCTCTAGGAAAGAATCATGGGCCCAGGGGAAGAGACCAGTGGGGCTGAGCTGGCTGGAGAGGAAGCTTCTTGAAGCTCATGGCTCCATTCAACCAGCTGGTGCCCTTGGGTACTTTCTTAATCTCTTTGAGCCTCAGTTTCTCACTTAGGAAATGAGAATACCTACCTTATGAGGAGGTGAAGATGAAATGAGATTGTCCGTCAGGTATCAAGCTTAAATATGTTTTCCTACACGGAAATTTATTTTACTATTATTTTTTAAATATTTTATTTATTTATTCATTAAAGTCACAGAGAGAAAGGCAGAGATACAGGCAGAGGGAGAAGCAGGCTCCACGCAGGGAGCCCGATGTGGGACTAGATCCCAGGACACCGGGATCACGACCCAGACCGAAGGCAGATGCTCGACCACTGAGCCACCCAGGTGTCCTCCCCGCCACCTTTTTTTAAGTTTTATTTATTTTAGAGAGAGCATGAGCCGGGGTGGGAGTGGGAGGTGCAGAGCGAGAAGGAGAGAGAATCTCAAGCAGACTCCATGCTAAGCCCAGAACCTGACGCGGGGCTCGATCTCATGATCCCGAGATCACGGCTTGAACTGAAACCAAGGGCTGGGTGTTTAACCAACTGTGCCACCCAGGCGCCTCTCCTACACAGAAATTTCTTAAAAGAATAATATCCGATACCCCTGCCTAGCATATTACTAGTGCCCAATTTAAAAAAAAAATTATTAGGAAAAAAAACAATAGCAAGAGCAAACAAGTAGCGGTGGGAATGTGCACAGGTGTGGAGGCCCTGTCCTGAGGGAAGGGTTTATGTTCACTCACTCTTCATCAGTCACTGCTGTCCCTAGGTGCCAGGCCCTGTGTTGGGCTCTGGACGTGCAGATAGGACTCTGACCTGGAGGAGGACCATCTGTGAGGAAGATCGCTAAATCCAGAAAATTCTAACAGAGTGATAGGGGGTTTCTTCAGAGCCTAACTGGTCCTGAGTTTCTTGTCTCTCTCCCACTCCCATCCACCCTTGCCCCTAGCTCCCAACCCAACATAAGCTCCACCAGAGCACAAACGTCACCTGGCTAATTTTCAACTGTTTTATCGACATCCAAAACAATTTCTGACACGCGGGAAGTGCCAAATAAATACTTGCTGAATGACTGTGGAGAGGAGAGTGGAAAGACACAAACCTGGGGCCTTGATTGAATTTGGGCTGCCGTGAAGTCCTTATAAAATCTGAGAACCAGGGCGCCTGGCCGGCTCAGTTAGCAAAGCACGTGACTCTTGATCTCAGGGTCATAAGTCCGTGTCCCATGTTGGGTGTAAAGATTACTTAGAAAATAAAATCAGGGATGCCCGGGGGGCTCAGTGATTGAGCATCTGCCTTTGGCCCAGGGTGTGACCCCAGGTTCCTGGGGTCAAGTCTCACATCGGGCTCCCCGCACAGAGCCTACTTCTCCCATCTCTGCCTCTCTCTCCGGGTCTCTTATGAATAAATGAAATCTTAAAAAAAAAAAAAAAAAGAAATAAAAGGAAAAATAAAGAAAATCTGCCAACCTACCCTGATGTAATACTTGGATACTGCTTCCAGCCCTCAGCCACCCCAGGGATGCCCCTGCCTTCGAAAATCAAAGGTCTTACCAGGGAGGGTGTTAAGGGCCTAGGACCTGCTGAGAAAGGGACAGTCCTACCTCCTGGAGTTTCTAGAATTGTCTCAAGTTGGGATAAAGTTTGAACCACACACTTCCTTGAGGCTCAGGGAAGTGCTGCATGCTGCCCCCTTGTGGCCTCTGCAGAACTGAGTAGCAAGGAGGCAGGCCCGGTGGTCTGTTCATGATCCCAGGTGACTCCAGTCCCAGGCACCAGCCTCCAAGAGTTATCCCAACCACCAGCTGTCTACACACCAGATCCAACTGCTCTATTTATTGCACACAAACTCAAGACTGGGCCCATGGTGTGGGGGAGGTAGTAAAAGGAGACCGTTCACATTTAGTAAAGCCTTGTGTTCACACCCACCCGGACCACCACCGCCACGATGGCCACCACCCTTTGGCCAGAAAGCCACTATGTATGCACAGGGGGTCAGAAGACCAATATTTTGGCCTCAACTCCACCTCAATCCACGGAGTGACCTTGGGCAAGTCACTGCACTTTGCTGGGCCTCCCATGTCTCCATCTGTAACACGGGGATCATGATCCCTCTTCTTGTCTCCCCTGCAGGGTCACCTGAAGATCACCACGGGGAGGACGGATGCTGCAAGTGCTAGGAAAAATGTTGAAAGCATGCTCCGGATGTAAGGGGATCGTGCTGGGGATTAGATAGGGGCTCTCTTGGGCTGCACTAAAGTGTTTGTTTACACCCAGACGGGCCCTGCTGGCGGGGAAATTTAAAGGGAACGTGCTCACTAGGAAAGCTGCTTCCCAATCCAATCACAACTGATCGAAACATGTCCAAAGGAAGAATGGATGTCTATGGGAAATGACCCACTGCCTGGTGTGAAAATCCCAACTACTTGGGTTTTCGGGAATGAGTTGACGAGCAGCAAGGTGGGGCAATGCAGTGGCCTCAATGTGTGGGGTCAGCCAGGAAATGAAAGAGATGAGCTGCTGCCTTTCCTCTGAGGCCAGGGTCCCCAAACTTGCATCTCTCCCCTTGGGGCTGTGCTTTCAGGACGATTTGCATGTCCGAGAATTGGTACAGGACAGTGGGAAAGGCCAGATGATCCCCTTCAGAGAAAAGTCCAGAGCTAGAATGAAGACAATTGGATACAGGGTGGGGTGGGGGGTGGCACTAAATTTGTGGGTGGGGAGTCAGAAGCCTGTGGAGCAGACCCACTGATCTCTTGTGATATTACCACCCGTTTCACCTCCCAAGATGTCACTGGAGGGGCGCCATGTATCCAAAACCTCAAAACTAAGAAACTATTTGCTTTTGCAAGAGAATTTTATTTTTCTTCTCTTTTTGGTATGAATCTCTTACCCAATCCTCTTCTTTTTGCTTTGGCAGCCAGGAAGCCCAGGGTCAAATGTGAAACTAAGTAGGTCTTTATGGCTAGAATATTTGTGTTCTTGCTTTTTATGATCCTGATTTCCTACTCAATTATATTCTTCTTATTTCTAATTTGTCATATTTTGTTTCATTATATAAGTTTCCAATGCAAACCATCTTAATTTTTCTTGTGGAATGAAGTAACGTACACCTAGGCAAATGACTGAGGAGTAGATGATGGATGTCCAAGTACTTACCATGGCTCACAGTGGGGGACATTTGGTGTGAGAATTACCAGGGTATCAGGGTCAGATTTGCAATCACCTAATATCAAAGCCCCTTCCCTATCCTCATCTCACCCCGTAAGATAGAGAAGGGAGTTGCGCAAGGTTTTATGGCATATTACCATCCAAGAAGACATTAATACCTACTTTTCCTGGCACTCAGTTCCCTGCTCTTTCCATGACGACAGGCCTGAGTTGTAAGGATGGCATGGCGAAGGTCAAGAAGGTGGCTCACTGCCGGCTTCAATGAAAGCCAATGAAGAAGTGGAATGCTCTACTCTTCTGGCTTTAGTTCTGAGGAAGCGAACCCTTCTGACGTGCTGGCTGACAAGGGGCTTGGGCTGCCCTCCCTGGCAGATACCACTTCCTCTGGTAATGGGCATGGCTGTAGAAGGCAGCTCAGAATGCCAGCCTGTGTCAAGGTGGAAGTGGAGGGATGTGTCTGAAGGACAGAGAATGTTTCTTCCATGAGAGATGCTCTCTTGACCCCCAGGCCGGCAGGACACAGCTGAATCTGGCCCACCAGTGGTAGTCTGGGTAAGGCAGCAGGCAAGTAGTAGCAGCAAATAGATTCTGACCTAGTTCATCTTCAAAATTAGCTGAAGACTTCCACTCGAATCAGACATGTAGCATAAGTTCCCTTAGCTTGGGAGGTCCTCTCCTCAGAAAGGTCCCCCTCCTTTCATAGACACTCAACCTGAGGCCAAACAAACCTTTGCAATTTTCAAGCCTTCCCAAAGTGGCTCCACGAATGCCCCCAGACACAGAAACCAACTCTAAATTATCTAAAATGAGATTTATTGCATTTCATGCAGTTTGAAGTCCATGCAGCAGAGGAGACTAGCACAATTTTTAATGCATTTTAAAAATTAAAAAATGGGGGTGGAGGCAGGCAAATGCACAAAGTTCTAGTCTCCTTGGGTCCCTGGGAGAGAAGGGTTTGGAAATGAAACCATCCACTTTCCATGGCGAATGAGTTCATCTTCCAAACGTAAGGAATGTTTCCATGGCCTCTGGGTGCAAACACACAGAGCTCTGGGACAAGCGCAGGGTCACGGGAGAGGATCACTAGTGAAGAGGAAGCTACATAGTCACCTAACTCAATCTGAGGGCAGAACAAGACGGCAAATCCTGGGGGCAGCAGCTGTTCTGAGTCAGGAGAAAACATAACCCCCCCCTTGAGGAGATCTGCTCCGGAAAAGAAGTGGCGGTAAGAATCAAAAAAGAAAAAAAAAGAGAAAAAAAGAAAAAAAGGAAAAAAAAGGGATAACAAAAGAAATAGTTCTTCAACCACACTCTTCAAGAAAATGCCATAAATATGTTATTTAATATTTTCATTTCATAGCATTGGACACACAGCTCAGCATACTGAAATATGGATTCCTTGGAGAAAAAAATGGAAAAAAGGAAATAAAAAATATTGCATCTTTCTGTTGGAGAATCTCGGCCCCCAGGCGTGGGGCGTAGTGCACCAGTGTCCTAGCCTGCAGGGGGCACCGAGGTCGCCGGTCCTCTGGGGAGGGAGGCTGTGCCCACCGCCCGGGGCTCTATGGCAAAATCTGTGTTGGGTGTCCTTGGTCTTGGCAGCTCAGGCGCTCAGTCGCCGGTCACCTGGGGGGCCTGGCCATCGGAGGGCTGGTTGGCTGACTGGATGAACATGGGCTGGGCGAGGTCCTGGCCGGCAGGCATGGTGACTTGCTGGATCTGGTAGAGCTGCTGCGAGGGGTGGAGAGGAGAGGGAGGTCACCCCTGGGAGAGGCGCACACAGCTCCCTCCGGCCTCCCCTGGTTGGGGCCCAGATCCCTCAACCACCCCTGCTGTAAGGCGTCGAAGGGAGGAGGGGATGTGGGGCTTTGCGGGCCCAGGAGCAGCGGACACAGGGCGCTCCAGCCTCCCTGGGCTCCAGCCCGTGGCTTGCACTTCTCTGGGCTCTGCCCCGGACACAGGGCGCTCCAGCCTCCCTGGGCTCCAGCCCGTGGCTTGCACTTCTCTGGGCTCTGCCCCTCCCGTGAGCTCAGAGCCTCAGAGCCTCGAGCTGCACGCTGTTCCTCTGTGACCAACACAAGCAATCCGAACCACTGTAGCTGTAGCAGCAGCAGCAGCAGCAGCAGCAGCAGCGTGTAAGCCAGCACTTCCCCAACTCAGTCTCAGTCGTCCTCACTAGTGGGGGAGGAGGATTACCCTCTCGCCTCCTCCTTTCCTCAGAATATCTGGCCACGTTGAACCTGCGCTTCCTCCTTGGGGCCTGCTGAGGAGGGTGCCTGGTTTTAAATACTAAGCCAGGACCCTTGAAGCATTGAGAAGTAGCCCACGTAGCCACTCCGGAAGGACAGAGCCAGAAGGGCACTTGACTTCTCAGGTGTCCCCCCAAAAAACCCACAGGCAAAGACCCATCACAGGAGCCCGGGCATGTGAGCGGGCCGAGGCCAGAGGTGGGTCCTGGCTCCTATCCTTTCTGGGCAGCAGAGGGCACTGGCTTGGGTGTGTCATCCTGTCATGTACTCGGGGTTCTCTGGGACCATCAGTGTGAGGGAAAGGAAAGATTCCTTCCTCACAGGAGCTTAGAATTACTGAATTCCGGGCACCAAGAGAGTTCCAGAGATCCCATGTTCTCTGCATGTCAATGAATCCGTGCTATTGAAAAGCAGCATAGTCTAGGAAAAAACCAGCCCTAGAGATGGAAACAGAAGACCTGCATTCTAGTCCTGGTGCTACAATAAAGAGCTGAGTGAGCACACACAAGACACTTCTGATCTCTAGGACTCCATTTACTCATCTGTAAAGTGGGGACTGGTGCTATATAATGTCTGAGATGACGTTCAGCTCCCACAAGTCTAAACCTAAAGGACTGGCACTCCAAATTAAAGACTGTACTTGCTTTAACAAGTTTTGTTCACTTGTTACCAGGAACTGGAACAGTTGCCCTAACCATCCAAACCCAGAGATCTTCTTACCTGCTGCCCCCGACTACCCCTCAAGCCTCGACCCCGGCCAAGACTGGGTGTCCTACCTGTCCATCCGTGAACTGGCTGAACTGCTGCTGTCCTTGCTGCACTTCCGTCTGCGTGATCTGCGGGAATCAAGATGACAGAGGAGACAGGTCAGCTGCAGGGTCTGGTTCACCGCTCCTGCAGCCCACAACCAGAAGGTTGTGAAGACCGCATGAGACAATGCACATAAAATGCCCAGAATGAGGCCTGGCACAGAACAGGTGCTTGGGGAGTAGCAGGAGAGCAAGGGTCCTCCCCAATCCCCTGCTACTGATGGCTACTCAGAGTTGACACCACACAGGACCACAGAGCACCCCCCTCCCCGAGTGTGTAATATATACAACTTCCACAACCAGCTCTCTTAATGTCCACACCTGCTCCCCGCCTGCCCCTCACTGCACACTCCTAGGTGCCAACACAGCAGGGCCTAACATTTATGGCTTAGGCAAAAACCCTAGCCAGTGACTGCAGACTGCAAAACACTGGGCAGAGTGGGGAGTGGTCCCTTTCATTCTTGGAAGGTGGGCTCCAAACCAAACCGTATCACCTAGATTATCTGACTGGAATATGAAACACCCTGGCGAAGAGGTGGCCTTGGCTCTGGAAGCCCTTGTGGCACACCTATGAAGTTTTTTCCGAGACAGGCCACGTGCAGCCCTCTCAGCCAAGCAGGGGGTGGGGTGGGGGGTGGAGGCGGGTGGAACGAGGCAAACATTTACCACATGGGTTTACAATCTTACATGAGGATTTTAAGTACATTTGAAAAGAAATGTGCTGACATGTAGAAATGCATCATATAGTGTCAGCTGCTTGACATAGCCTGGCACACGCATACTTGTGTGCATTCCTGTATCTACGGAACATCTGACTAGTATGTCCTCTATGTACCATCTCCTGGAACCATCACAGCCAAGCTGTAAGGTAAGGACTGTCCACTTGAGTGTCCTCACAACAGCTGAAAACACCCCATCAGGCTTTCCCACGAGGCTGTCAGGAGCAAGAGTGGAGCAGGTGTGAAAGGGCTTCAAGAGGGTTTCTTACTGTTGTTCTTGTTTGGGGTCTTTCTTCTCCTATAGGTTGTAAGCGGCTAGAGAGCAGCAGCTCTAAGTTTTGTCTTTTTAGTCCCCCAGTGCAAAGAAAGTATTTAAGAAATGTCTGCAAAATAAATGAATGACCCTGAGACAAATGTAAAGTATTCTTCATAAATGAGGTCAACTGTGCCTTGTGAGCCCCCAGGATTGCCCTTTCACATGAGCTGAAAGTTTCATTTACCTTTACATTCCATTTACATATTATTCATACAACAAACACAGACCAAATAGCTACTATGTGCCAGGCTGTCACGATTATGATCTGTTGTAATGCAGACTCCAACTGCGCTCAGGTGCCCCCCCCCCCCCCCCCGCCTTGCTTCTCCCTCTCCTATCTGAAAATCTGACTCTCCCCACTTTCTGGCTTTAGTTTCTGGTCCCCAAACTAACCTCTGAGGAACCAAAAACTCTTCCTTCTTATTTCCTCCACCCTCATGCCATGAAGTTTTTGGATTCCAGGTTAGAATCTCGCAAGGATTTTTTTTTTTTAAGATTTTATTTATTTATTCATGATAGTCACACAGAGAGAGACAGAGAGGCAGAGACACAGGCAGAGGGAGAAGCAGGCTCCATGCAGGGAGCCTGACGTGGGATTCGATCCCGGGTCTCCAGGATCACACCCCGGGCCAAAGGCAGGCGCCAAACCGCTGCGCCACCCAGGGATCCCTTTTTTTTTTTTTTTAAAGAGGGGTACCTGACGGTGTGACCAGTCTGGAGATGTAACTTCATGCCAGTCAGCCCCAAGGAAGTTACAGAAAAGCCCACGCCCTTATGTGAGCCAAGGAATGGGTCTGGAATGGGCCCTTTAACGATCCCAGAAACTACATGGAACTCCGAAGCCTTTTTGGCTCATTCCTCATGTTTTCCCAAATGAGATCTTTGGAGACCTGCTCTACAAACTCAGCTCTGTCACCACTGTCAATAGATACATCACCAGAAATGCAACTGGGCCAGACTTGTCCAGCTCTTAAACGATCGCTGCTTTTTTTGGGTCTGAGGCAGAAGAATCCATTAACAATGCCTCCCCTTGACCAGCATTCCCCATCCCCTACAAATGATACCCGTGCCCCACCAAGCCCCAAGCCTAGGGAGGCTGCCCCCTCAGCACCCATGGCTAACAGTCTTCTGTATCATAGGGCATGAGAGGAGATGAAAGGGACAGTCTCTGGCTAGGTGTGCCTAAGTAAAATCCACGTAAGCTTTCCAAAGTGCACAGAGGGTGCCAGAACACAATAGCTATTTGGTTTTAAAGATAAAACTCAAAAAAAAAAAAAAAAAGATAAAACTCAGCCTGACGATGAGGCACACTGTCAGAACGTCTCCTCTGGTCAGACACGCACACACATACATCAGGCTCTCTTTAAGTGTCCTTGAGATTTCCCATCCTTCGCATTTCTTTGTCCCTTGAGAGTAAGACCGTAAGTAAGAGACACACTTTGAATCCAATCCTCCAATAAACTCCATCTGTCCTTTGGGATGAACAGATGTGCAGGGTGCAGCTCTTGCTGAAGGGTGAGGTGGCAAGAGAGCCATCGCTCCAGTCAGTCCCCTAGCCATGCCCTACATCTCTGGGGCACGTACCTGTTGAGCATTGGTGGCAAGTGTCTGGATCTGTCCCTGCACGACTTGGGTGCCTGATACAGGCTGGGCTAAGCGAATGTACTGTAGCTGGCCGGCATTCAGCTGAACCTAGAGCGGGGCAGACAAGCAGGCACGGAAGACTGAGTATGACCCCAACAGGCAAACTTCCCATGACCAGAGGTGGTGACTGCCACTCCCCTTCTGAGACCTCCAAAGTAGTACCTGCAAAGTTTCTCTTCAACAGCAGTCAACATGAACAAAACCGTAACATCCCTACCCGGCAAGTCATAATACACAAAAGAGAGTATGTTCCCTAAGTGGACTTTGGAGAAAATTCCTAGAGGATCTGGTCACATATGTGAGGAACAGCATGGCCACACCTTCAACATTCACTGGCTCTCAGCCATTTGCTCAGTTTATCTTAGGATTTTATCCCATACTGTCAGACATGATCAGAATGCTTTGTACCGTAAGTGTGGGCCATTCTCCACTCTATCTCCAAACTCCGCCACCCCAATTCCTGGGATGGCTGATCTAATAGTGAGAACTCCAGCATCTGTCAGGAGCCCAAAGCAGATGGCCAGCACTCTGCGCCCTAGCCCTAGTCCTGCCCGACCCATGCTGCACATCTTGGAAGAAAAAGCTGGCCTGCTTCACTATCTCGGTCCCCAAGAGCCAGAACCAACAGGGGTCTGTGGGACTTTTAGGATCCTTGGTGTTCAGCACTTTCTTCTGGCCAAACTCCTCCCAAGGGGAAGCTGAATCAATAAATGTTTCACAGAAAACCCCATCATGGGAAACCAAAGCTACAAAAATGCCCTTAGAGTCCCTCATGCTTAAGATTAAGTCTCAGATAATACAATAATACCACATGCTGCATTTAATTGTTCACTAAAAGCCTTAACTCAGACTCTTAACGCTCTAGTGTACCATGAAAGTCTCAGTGCCTTGGGTGGGAATGGAGAGACCAAGGCGGCTGGCTGCAAGAGAGGAACCGTGGCTCAGCAGAGGAGAGTCAGCAGAGCACTGCCAACATTCACACTCGGGATTTGGGTGATGAAAAGTGGTGCCAGAAGGACAGACTGGTCTCTATCCGGGGGCTCAGAAACCACTCTCCCTGGCTGCCCAGCCTGCCGTTGTTGCAGCAGTGAACTTCGTGAGGCAAACGGGCAAGTCATGTCTCTTTGTCCTGGAGCAAAGGGAATTTAAAACCGAATTCCCTTGCAGGGAATTTTACTTCCATGAGGAAAATGCTGATACACGAAGCTGCACTCCTGCCTGCAGTGTTAAATCACACTGCTTCTCTACAACTTCAGCTTCAAAGAGGATTTGAACCACCAAGAAAAGACAAATACTTGGTAGTGAGTGTAGTTCTTAGAAGTTCTTGGTAGACCAAATTTCAGAATTGTCCACTTATAGCAAATTGGAGGAATAGAAAACCTAAACTCGTTAATCTGGTTCACACGAGACAGGGCAAGATATTATGACCTGCGATTCTTTCTGAGACTATGCCAAGAAGAGCTGCTGGAAGTTGTGATGCCAGGCACAGATTGGCCCCGCCTGAAGTCCCATAATGTGGCTGCTGGGCAACAACACTAAGCTGCTTTTGGGGATGAAGGCAGCTGACTAGAAGCTGGGGAAGATCGTCTGCTGGGACCAATCGTGGCTGGTCCCAGAGTCACCAGAACTCCAGCCAAGGAACACAGGATGAAAGACTAAAGCCTATTCCCAAGAATAGGTGTAGTGACAACCACAGGGATTTTACGTTTCCCAGCTGGGAAGAGCTCTTTGCAGAAACTCAGATGCGACTGAAAAATTGTGAGCCAGATAGTTCCAAGCAGTTCTTAGAAGCAGAAGCTCTTTTAGGCTTAGGTTTACACATCTGGTGATGCTCTGCCACAATGATAGGTCTGGGGACCCTGGCAGCGTTTTGATGTTAATTACAGGACAAATACGCCTGCCCTTTGGACTTTCAAAAAAGCTTCAAAAAAGAAGCAAAGCTTCCTTCCTGAATGTCCTCTCTATTGGAGCGAGCACTCTGGAGGAATTTAGAAGTGCAGACTTCTGCAGAAGTTATCTGAGAATAGTGAATTCTGCAGCAAATCTGTGCTAACGCTCTGTGTCCTGGAAGGTTAAAAAGACTGGAGTTAAAGTTACTGCAAAGAGGGAACTCTTCTTCTCTGGCTTAAGTTCTGGTGCCTTCACATGCAAAACTGAGAACCATTCAAGAGAGGTCTTTGGTTGGTGGCTGAGACAGTGAGGGAAGGCACCTGGAACTAAGAGGGGTATGTGTGTGAGAGACAGAACGAGAGAGAGACAGAACGAGAGAGAGAGAGAGGAAAAAAGTGGGAGTGAGAGGGTGCAAGCTCTAGCAGAGGGAGAGTGCACCAAAAAGTAGAGAAAGGGAGGAAAGGCAGGAGGGGAGACGGAAAGATAGAGACACACACACACTCCACTTTCCCTAAGTTTTCTCTTGGTCTATTACCCTGTTAACTTAATAAGAACAGTTTCAAAAATGGAGCTTTTTCAAAGAGGAAGTAGTTAACCAAGTCAAAGCGAGTTTCTCTATCTGCCTACATGTCATTTACAAGAGGAAGTGTACAAGAGGAAGGGCAAGGGGCAGGAAAGAGAAGTATTGCTCCGTGTCACTCACTTTGGGTGGCAAATGACCAATGTATAGATGGCAAGTGTTAAGATGGGGCATTTTTTACAAAAGAGCAAGTATAAGTAAAAAAGCCAACAAATCCAAGAAATGAAATCCCTCATGGCACACAGGAAGCAGCAGTCCACAGTGAAGGGATGGATAAGTTAAATGAAAGCCAAAAATACACTTTGCTGCAGGCTCCACTGGGAACTGACTCATGAATATGCAACAAGTGTATTTATGGCCTTCTCTGTACACCTCCCTCTTATTCTCTGCTAATCAAAAGACAGGGAGGGCTGCCTCACAGGGCCTTTGGGTCTTGGCATGAAAAGTGGTTACGAGCATTCTCTGCGTAGGTGGAGTGCAGGGAAATCGAGAGGAGCTGCCCCACGGTGGTGAACCTGAGCAGGATTAAAAGAGAGCAGTGAGCATACAGTGAAGCAAGCTGCGGTCTGCACTCACACGGATATAAGTTTAGAGAAATGTATGCACATACATACACATGGGTATATGCAATATTCTGTGTGTGCGTTTAAGATCTATAAGCACTCTCGTTACAAAAGGAGCACAGTGCCTTGCAGATGCGAGGCAGAGCAGGCTTACCGGGATCTGCTGGATCTCTCCTGTGTTCGTGATGATCTGCTGCATCACCTGCATAGTCTGTCCGGTGCTGCTCTGGGCCTGCTGGGCTTGACCCTGTGGCTGAGCCTGAACAATCTGGACCTGCTGACCTTCTCCAACCTGCATGGTCACGGGCGTGGTCTAGAAAGAAGAGTAATGAGAAAGCTGATTCAACCCCAGCTCAGAGCCATTAGGCTTACCAAGGGGTTAATGATGAGCAGTTAACTGGCAGCAAACCCCTTCCATGGATGCCTAAACTCATCTTAATACAAATTAACAACACTCAGAGTCTTTTGGGCCTACAGCACTGCTAAAATTTATTCTCCAAAATAAAAGATGAGAAAGCCATATAGATTTGTAGTCTCACAGTACAGAATAACTGTCCAGGCCCCAAACATCTCTATGGTTCAAATGCTGCAGCTTTTCAAGCCTCTTCAGTGACCAAAAGGCACATATGTTACGAAAGAATCCAAAGTAACCATTACAGTTCACTTGAGAAATGGCCAAAGTCAAGTCGGGAGCAGGTGAATTTGGAGAACAAATTAAATGGAGTGGGGTTGGTATGAATTTACTGAGTTCAGGATCTTGGGACTCCTTTCTAGGGATACCAGACACTGGAAGGAAAATAAACTACATGCTGGCTTTGAGCAAGCAGCAGAACAACTCCAGCCCACACTGGCCAGCTGGCTGCTGTGGATCAAGCTCAGCTTTCCACCAGAGAGGCAACCACCACTAAGACCTAGACATTAATTAAGGCTACCCAAGGAACAGAATTTAACAAACAAGAACTTTAACTCTCTAGAAACAGGAACCTTAAGATTTAAGAAATTTCTGTCCAATGTACATGACTTGGCAGATTCTGAGTCTCTCAAAAATGTTCATGGACTTGTAGTCCTATGAAACTTACGCCTCCGAGAGATGGCAGACTTAACTGTCAAAAGGGTTGGTCAGTCACTTGTTCAAATTTCAAAGCTTTAGGGATGCCTGGGGGGCTCAGTGGTTGAACATCTTGCTTTTGGCTCAGGGCGTGATCCTGGGGTCCTGGGATCAAGTCCTGCATCAGGCTCCCTGCATGGAGCCTGCTTCTTCCTCTGCCTGTGTGTCTCAGCCTCTCATGAATAAATAAAATCTTAAAAAAAATTTTTTTTTTCAAAATTTCAGCCCCAAATGGTGCCAGAAGGAAGGTGGAATCTTTTAAAAACTACACCTACACTCCCAATGCCTGGATTCAGCCGTGACCCTCCCCACTCTGAATCCAGAGTCACTTCAGTAAGAAGACGCTGCGAGCCTTCTATCGAAGTGGCTATCTTATGTTTCTGACTACACAGGTCTCCTATGCATCTGAAGTTACAGGGGAAGGGGATGTGCTCTAGGAACCCCAGATGAGATTCAAGGGACTACTAGGTAAGGAGAAATTACTATGACCTGGAGGTAGAAGGAAAGAGGACAGAGGGATCTGTGTAAAAATACATGCAGTGGGCTAAGACAACAGGAAACACCTCCCGTTCTCACACCCGTATTCTCAACTCAGCCTATTCCCCCAACCTCCAGGAATAGAAGTTTCCAATTTTATGATAGAACACACAGGATTCACTTTACCAAAATATGCTTTCCTTCCAACTTTAATATGTATTCTCTCCGCAAAGGTTATCTGAACTCAACTTGAAACAGGCATTACTATAGGTCCAAGGAGGGGGACACAGCACAAGGCCACCCTGAACCAGAAGGACAGAGAAACAGCAGGTGGGAGACACTGGGAGAGACCAACTCCACCATCCCTGAAGCTTCCTCACCAGCTCCAAGCTGAGCAAGTCTGGGGTAGCAAAGAGGAGAGATGAAATTCTTGCTGACTAAAAAAAAAAAAAAAAAAAATATGCATACTGCCAACTCATCACTGTACTTTATCAACTCAATTTTCCCAAGAGGATTTCCAAGGTATTTCTAAATCCTTTCAGGAAAATGAAGGCTTGTGTTAGCATGGCAGCTGTCAAATCATGTATGGGGTGCCCTGCTGTCAGGGCACAACAGCCATGAGCCTCTTCGGATGTTCAGCCAATCAGACCCTGTGCTTGATGGACTCCCTTAAAGTTTGGTCTTGTAAAGGGATAAAGCCTTTCCCAGGTAAAGCTCTCAGCACCGCAGGGGCACAAGCATTAGCCAAAGAAGGTCCCTTAGGCATCAGGGTATAGTGAACGCCTTGAAGCAGGGACTGGGCTACAATCATCTTTGCCTAGCACAGTGTCTGGCAAAGAGAAAGCACCCTAGAACTTTAGTTATATGGATAAAAAAAAGTGAGGCAGGAAATAAATCCTGAGGTCCTTTTTTTTTTTTTTTAAATTTATTTATTTATGATAGTCACAGAGAGAGAGAGAGAGAGGCAGAGACACAGGCAGAGGGAGAAGCAGGCTCCATGCACTGGGAGCCCGATGTGGGATTCGATCCCGGGTCTCCAGGATCGCGCCCTGGGCCAAAGGCAGGCGCCAAACCGCTGTGCCACCCAGGGATCCCCCTTCTAAAATTTTTTAGCTCATAGTGATCCCAGAGAGCGTCTCATTCACTGCACTCTCCTCATGTGACCCCTGAGGAAACCAGGGCCCAGAGAGGTTAGGGTGACATATCACCTGGACAGCTGATTCTGGGGAGAAGCCTAAGTTTACAGACTTCAACTCTGGTGTCCTATGGTGACTGGCCTGCCTCTCCGCCCAGGCCAGGCCTTCCCCACCCCAAACCTAAGTGGCGCAGTCTTGCTGGCAGGCACCCCCATACAGCTCACGGACCTGGCCCTGCTGAGGCTGTGCGATGATGATCTGCCCGGGTTGGATGGTGGTTGTGGAGCTGCTGGTCTGCTGGCCCTGCTGCTGTCCCTGGACTTGGACGGCGGTGGGCTGCTGAGCCAGCGTGAAGTAGTACTGGACGGGCTCGGCAGGAGTCACAGACTGGCGCACCTCCTCCTGTGGGGTAGAAGGAGAGGCAGGTAAGAGGAAAAGAACTGACTCAGCAGCTGCCACAGTGAATTTCCATTCTTCCCCCACACAGACTCTGTGCAGTTGCCTGCTGAATGCTGAGCTCTCCACATTTGAAGCCAAGGGAAAGTGGAATTCGAAGAGACCAGTTGTGCTAAATCAAACTAAAAATAACAGATTCCATAGGCTTCACAAAACATACAGCCAATTTTCTGAAGTACAGAGTAATCACCCATTGCGTGATGAGTTGCAAATGGGCAAATAATTACCGTAACTAAAAACCACGCACCAGAAGTGCTTGTCAGTAAACGCTGTTGAGGCCTGTGATCTGCAGACGGTGCTAATTGTGAGCACTGGGAAGATGCTACCCAAACATCAAGCTCTCAGGCCAGCCCCGTATCTCCCAAATAGACAGCACTCTCCTTATGTGGTGCCCACCAGCTCTGGAGGGACAGAGCAGGGGAGAGGGAAATAGGGCTTTTCCTGGGCTAGAAGTTTAGAATTCAATGTCATGATTGAGAGCACTGGTAGGCAAGTGCCCCGCTTTTCACAGTACACCAAGAGCTCGGTGGTCACCGAAGGCCATGTCTAGCCAGCATCATGTCTGGTTCTGGTTGTACTTAGCCACAGAAGCGCAACCCAGGGGGCCTGAGGGACACTCTCCGCTGGGGGGCTGCCTTGGCTGACTAGGGAGGTCGCACTCTGTCCGATCTGCTGGGTGAAGAGACCGCTCCTTCTTCAGCTGACGTTTTCCATGGCAGAAGGAGTAAACAACCCTCTCCCAGCCACCTTGAGCTCACAGCTGAGAGTGTAGGATGTTTACACACACTACGGCATGGTTAGAGCCTGAGGGTCCGGGGTTGATAGGCCCCTGACCACTGACACAGAGATCGGCGTCTGCTCCGGAGAACCCTGCGACACACGGTGCCCCTGCCTGGGACAACAAAAACAACAGAAACATACATCCACTTGGGCTGGCTGAGCAGAAAATTAGCTTAATTTACTCACTTCCTTGTTCTGGGCTAAGTTTGTCAGATTCAAGAAAAGAGGAAAAGACACTTCTCCAAGGTAAAGAGATGCTGTGGACTGCCTCAAAGCTCCCCAGGTGACAGTGACCCAGTCGGTACTGACTGCATACCCTCAACTAGGTTAGGCACCCCAATCTATATTGCACAGTCCCTTCCTCACTACACTTTGTTGTACCTACTTATCAAATTCACTGTTTTCCCTGTTCCAGTGGAAGTGCTATGAGGGCTCAACTTTCTCTTGCTCTCCGATATCCCAACCATTTATTCCCTTGTAGGTGGCACTCAGGAAGAGGTTGCTGAATGACAAATTTATAGAGCCAGGCAGAGAACTGCAGGTAGGAAAGTGGTTTATTTTTTTTATTTTTTATTTTTTAAAAGTAAACTCTATACCCAACATGCGGCTTGAACTCACCAACCCCAAGTTTATGAGTTGCATGCTCTTCCAACTGAGCCAGCCAGGTGCCCCAAAAAGTACTTTTTTTAAAACTTAAGTTGGTATTATGACATAGTCTCTTGAACCTAACACCTGTTACCAATAGAAAAGAGTACATAAACTTTCTTTTGCTACCTCTAGGATTCTGTGGCCATGGTGTGGGGAGAAGCAGATGTCTGCTGTAGAACAGAGCCTGCCTGGTGACTCTGGGCCCTGGATACTAGAAGTAGGATTGCTGCTGTCTAGCCTTTCAGGAACTGGGGTCGCATGGAAAGATTCTCTAATGGCCACCCACCCAGCCTCAGAAGACACTTTTACCATTCTGGGTTTCTAAGCTAGTCCTCAAATATGAACAAATTTTCTAGGTTAATGCATTCTGTGCTTCAGACCCAAACAGTTTGAACCCTGAACATAACCACGCTAAGGCAGAAGAAAAAGGAGGGCCCCTTTATTTTCATCTAGGATTCAGTTTCCAGAACAACGTAACTGTGACAACAGCACCTCCATTTCAACTCAACTATTCACCATTATAAATGAAGGTAAGCCTGTCAACTAGCTCTTGACTATGGCAGGGATAAATACTAATACCCTCCCTTAACCAAGAAACAGGGACCAACTGCTCTTTTCAAAGCTCTTGAAATAGGTTCAATGTATTTATTTTCCACTGAGAGTGCCCCTCCTATTTTATAAAAAACATCAATCACTATAGCCTAGACTTAACTTACAAAAGTTCTTGGGTAAACAAGAGGGTAGAGGACTGAGACTTCCCCAGAACCAACTTGAAGGCAGTCAGGGAGGAGGAAGAAACTGGCATTTCCGGCCTTGACCTGTGACAATTCTGTCTCCAGTTATCTCTCACTGCAACTAACCTGCAAGTGAATATAGCCTTTTCGCCAGACAAAAAAAAAAGAAAAAAAAAAATCCTTAAAGCACCTCTTCCTGAAGCCAAAATACTCCTTGCCAAAAACTGTGACAGCAGGTAAAGAGCTTCTCCTATACTGCCTACCACACCCTCTTAAGTTATTTATGAACTAGGCAGTGCCTAGGACACCTGGGAGTACCTAGCAGAGGTGCCTGGATTGGTGCTGGGAGGACCAGGCATGGCTGCTCTCGAATCACTGGAATGGAAGGAGGCACATCTAAAGTTCTGCATTATGAAGACTCACCCGGCCAATGGAGAGCAAGCTAGCAAGGGAATGATTATGCTTGGTTTAAAGAAATGGGTGAAGAGAAAATGACATTTCAATGGTCAGGAACTTTCAACTCATAGCTTTAGTGGGGGTAGAAGTCAGCCTCAACTATCCTCTGCTTCTGAATACTCTTTCCTTGCTTCCCCGAAGAACAAGAGAAATTTCCAAGCATCTCTGAGAAGTCAAGGGTCTTAGATCTACAACTCAATATTCCTGGCTAGTTTCTTTCCCCAGCAATGGGAAATCACCCCTTGTGTTAGAACAATCTCTGAATGACTGAATCAATCCAGAATGGGGCACTTGCTCAGCTTTCGCAGTGGCCTCCCCGACCAGAGGACGTGCTCTTGGAATCTTTTCAGAAGTGGAGACCAACGAACATCAGAGAACGAGCAGCATCCCATCCTTGGGCCACTGCTACAGGGTTGCACAGCCAGCCCCAGAATGAAAAAAGTACATTCGCTTCAGTAGCCAGAAATGAATTGCTGTCTCCTTCAGAAAGGGTGAGTTTTGGAGAGTAGGCGCTTTTAAAGGACTTAAGGAGGTGCCAGCCAATTTGGAGCTGGGGAAAACTTCATGTCTACAGAGGATTAAAAGTGCTATCTTAGAATTTCAGGCCAGCTTTCAGCAATCTCAACCTTTCAAAGGCCAGGCAGCAGCTGTCCCCAATAGGACGCCAATCAATGGCTTGAACACCTACAAAGACCTGAATCCAGGCAGCAAGGAGCTGTTTCAGCTAGACACACTTTAAAAGGAGATGGATCACAACATTATGAGTCAGGCTAGGATGGAACTAGCAGCGGCCTGACACCCTGAGAAAGCCAGGGACTGAGGACTTGAGGAAGGGACAGGACGTGACCCCTCCTTCTAGCTGGCTGGTTCAGCAGACAGCCCACAGAGATTGAGCAGGAGTCAGCACAAGGCCTGATTTTGTCACAGAGCTCACCACCCTGTTTTTAAAGGGCGCTTCTGAAACAAATTCCAACAAGGAGAGCAGGGATGCAGTAGCATTTATTTTGGGGGAAGAGAAGCGGTCTGAGTTCTTGCTATAGTGACGTCTCATAGAGGAGAGAAACGCCCCAAGAAGAGGAGCTGAGCCTGTGGGCACAAACCTGCAATGGTCTCAAAGGCGGTGCGCAGCTGGGGACGACCGTGACCGTGGCAGCCTGCCGCTGTAAACATCCGACTGAAAGCCCCTCTGAGCACCTTACAGCTTCCAGTCAAGGATGTTTACAGTAGCAAAGACTGCCCAGAAAGGACGGAGCCGCAGTGAGGCGCCCTGCTCTAGTGATGGGGCACAGAGGGCTGGCTGATCTAAAGGGCCCCCGGTAGGGCCAGGATTACAGAGGTCCTTTAAGACGCCCACTTCTACACTTCCTAACTGGTTACCAGTGTGAGACAGCAGAGGAGAATGGTGGTCATGAATGACTCCTGTTCTAAGGCTAATATATTATGAAATAATTCATTAAAAACACTTAAAATTTTATGAGTAAGGTAAAGTAAGCAGAACAAAGCACAGCTTTGCTCCTGCCAGACACTGCCACTACTCCCCAAGTGTCTCTACCACACCTACTGAGTCAGGCAATCCGCTTGCCGCAAACAATGAACTATACAGGACAGAGATCTATTACAATTACAATTAAGAGCTTGATGCACCTAAGGTGCTGCAAAAAAGTCAGTGTGACCTTTGGAGAGGGGCAGGCAAAAGAGAGGCAAAGACAGATAATCACGTTCTTTCCCGTGATTGCTTAGAAAACGGTTTAAGTGACGGTTCTCAAATCTGGCTGCACATTAAACAAATCTGAAAAGCTTTAAAAAGTAATGTGGCCCAGGCTTCCCCCTCACAGATTCTGATTTAGCTGGTGTGGGGTGAAGCCCGGACACTAGTATTTTTTAAACCCTAACAGGTGATCTAATGTATAGCCCAAGTACTACACAGAGAATCGCAATCCAGAGTAAGAGAAAACCCAAGTCCATTCACTCCAAACACCACTGTGCACATAGAGCTATTGCTTTAAATCTTGAAAATCTAAAATCTGTACCTTACTGGGAATGTGCTCCCATCCCAGATTAAGAACTCTGAGAGACTCCCTAGGGTACCTTGAAATGAACTTCACTTTACTTTTTTTTAACTTGTTTTTAATTCTCATTTTGTCTACTTTCTGAAATACCACCTCAGAGGCACTGAGTTAAAAGTATCCATAAATGAGTAACAGAGGGAGATGTTAAGGATGGATCTGGTCTAGAGAAAGAAAAGCAAAAGGAACAGGAAATGACTTGAGCTGAGAGAGGAGTGTATCTGACACCAGTGGGCAATGTGCTCTTCGGTCAGAAGCAGCAGCAAGGCCTTCCCAGCTCACCTGACGCTTTGGAGGTTTCAGTTCATCTCTTGGAACAATATCGATGAGAAAGTCAAACTGATCAAATTTTGTAATGGCCATGGCGATATCATTCCTCTGTAACAAAGAAAAGCAGGGTGAAAAATTAGCCTAGGGAGAAACTAGTTCACCTGGCTTTATAACCTCCACATTACAAGTAAGATAAGATGATGACTTCTAAGTCAAAATCAATAACCATGGCCAAGGCTATAGCTGAAATAAGCACAAACTAGCAAACTTCACATAAGACCTGATGGACAGACCCTAACAAAGATATACCTGTAGCTCATGCTCTAAAAAGCCTCCAATTATGACTACTACCACCTCTGCTGGATCCTACCCCAAGTCTTCCCCACAGTTGTTAAATTATCATCCTCCAACTAAATTCGTACAAATCTAGCAATCTCAACTGGCAGGTTTCTGGTTGTTCTGTGGTTAGCGAGGTCATGCTATTATTCAATCTTACAACCTTCTGGGATCTCTACTGAATCCTAATTAAATAACTTTTTAAAATATTTTCTAGTCACTGATCTATAGGAAGTTCTCACAAGGCTACGACTTTTATTTGGAATTTAAAGTCACAATGTTACATATATGGTTTAAATCCTGTTTAATGTGATATGAATACCAGAAGTCTGAAGTTACTAGAATTGACTGATGATACTGAAACCAAGCCTTGTTCCAATGGAATTCTAAGAGTGATACACTTGTCTTTAAATAATAAAACCAAATTCAAAAAAATTAAAAACTTATATAAAACACATTAAGTATCCTTATTTGTGCACTTCATTGTATGAAAATTTTAAAGAAAAAAAAAAATTGGCCAGGAAAAAGTAATGAACTCTAGTGAATGATATGCACGTTAAAGTCTTTAGGGAAAAGTAAACTTTGAAATGCATTTAAAAATAGATGGGGGCACCTGGGTGGCTCAGTCAGTTAAGCATCCAACTCTTGATCTCAGCTCCAGTCTAGATCTCGGGGTCGTGAGTTCAGGCTGCATTGGAGCCCAGCATGGAGCCACTTAAAAAAAAGAAATAGATGACTGGATGGACAGAGGGACAGACAGATAGATACAGGGATGAAGCTAGTAAACTGTTAATGGTAGGATCTAGGTGGTGAGTATAAAGGTGCTCGCTATTAACTTTGCTTATATTTGAATTTTTTCATAATAAAATGTTGAGGGAGAAAGTCAACATAATAACAGAAATCCCTAGGAATCTCTATGTATCACATCTTAAGAGAGGTGACTAACTAGACAAAATAAAGGGGGATGGAAATTTTCTGTATTTTCCTTCTCTTGTCTCTGTGATGGCCCCAAGCCACTGAAATGCAAAACTCCAATCCACCCTTGCCAAGCACCAGCTTGATAATAAACCCTCCAACCGAAGCAGGGTGCATCTTAAGGCTGCCAGGTCTCATTTAAGATCAGTACGATATAGTATCACATTCCTGATGATGTCACCTACTCAAAGCTATCTAAACAGCTCATCTATGGATGGAATTGGGGGAGTGGCAGTGGTAGGAACAAAATAATAAGCACTTCCAAACATACACCAGTGTTCTACAGAATTTTGGAAACACAAATATACTTAAGTTGGTCTTTTTTAACTTTATTTTGCCTTTGTTAATGCTAGTAATATTTTACTGAATACTCCTATAAAACAGAGAAATCTTAAGGACACAGCTTGATGAATTTTAATATATATCTGCAGCCAGGTAGCCATCACTCAGATAAAATTATAAAAAGTGTCCTTCTATCCCTTTCCAACCAACTGCCCTCCCCCTACTTTATTTCTATCACCACAGATGGTGATAGTATACGGTATTATTATGTGCCACATAATTTTTTCCTCTGGTTTCTTTGGCTTAACATAATTTTTCAGATTCCCCTAAGTTGTATGGATCAATAATTTTTGTTGTTGTTGCTGTTGAATAGTAATCCATTTTATGAACATATCCCTTTTGTTTATATATCCCCATCTTGATGGATACTTGAGTTGTTTCTAGTCTTTGGCTATTGTAAGTAAGGCTGTTATAAATATTCTTATACAAGAAAGTCCACCCTTTGGGGTGTATACCTAGGAGTGGGATGGCTGGGTCATACAGTAGGGACATATTTAAGGTTATTAGAAAGTGCCAAATATTCCCCAAAGTGACTGCACCACTTTGCATTCTGTCCTATAGGAGTTTCAGTCACTCCACTTCCTCATCATCAGTTGGTACTTAGTCCCATTCCAGTGAGTGTAAACCAGTATCTTGTTGTTTTTATTTCTATTTCCCAGGGGACAATGATATTGCACACTCATATGCTTATTGGTCATCTGGATATCTTTTTTTTTTTTTTTAAGATTTTGAGACAGAGAGAGAAAGAGTGCATGTGCATGAGTAGGAGGCAGGGGCAGGAGGAGAGGGAGCAGCAGACTCCCTGCTGAGCTGAGAGCCTAAGATCATGACCTGAGCCAAATGCAGATGCTTAACCGACTGAGCCACCTAGGAGCCCCAGGATATTTTTTTGAAGGTCCTGTCCAAGTTTGTTCACTTTACTTTTTAGTCTGAATTGATCTTGAAGGTAGCTTTAACTGGATCTCTCTAGAGTTAAAGGCTTCCTTCAAAGCAGCATAAAGTAAGTTCTCAATGTCTAACTGCACTAGAATGTAGATTTCCCGAGGGTGGGGGTTTTGGTCTCTTATGTGTGTTAATCCCCAGAGCCTAGAACAGCACTTGGCATGTGGATGTTCAATAAATATTTGTAGAACAAATATGCACGCATCTTCAATTTGAAGGTAAAGGGAAACAAAGGAGAAAACAATTTACTTTCTTGGCTTTGCTGCTGAAAGACTGCCAGTGTCTTTTATCTGTCACACCCTTCCTCTTATGTCTGGGAAACCTTTCCTCCAAGAACTAGGGCCTGGTTGTTAAGAGAAAGCCCTCTAGAGCCAGTGTCTTCACATAATATGAATGCTGATTTTTCTGGATTAAAATAAAAAGAAAATGAAAAAGAAGGAAAGGATTTCCAGGAAGGCAGACAAGGAATAAAAAGGCAAATGAGGTAGGTGAGACGGATTCTTCCTGGGACTATCCTTTCCTAGAGTCTCTCAAGGCTTCCAACCAGAAGTTGTTTACATCTGGAAATAGATCAGTCTCACTTTAGCCTGTTTATAAGTGAGGGCTCACCAAATGAAGAGATCAGTCACTGAGCTGTGAAAACCACAAGAACTGGCAATGAAGATTCTTGGTGGGGAAATACTGTCATGTCTATAGGGTAGACCTGCCTCATAGAGGCAGTAGAGGTAGATGCCAGTTCCACACATCAGCTTGACAGAAACCTAAGAAGGAACAATCTTTGGCTGAAAACCATGCAAGAGAAGCAAGTGAAGGTAAAAGCAGCTCCTTGCCCAGTTTCCTCATGTACATCTACGATATTACCTGTAGAGTCCGGCGCTTGTTATCCTCTGTGTGGATCCAGGCTCGAAGAGTCAACTCTGTGATAAAAATCTGGGCTGCCTTGGCAAAGAGCACAGGGGCTTCTGCACTGATCATCTGCAACAGACGTAGGCCCTCCCTGTCAATCACCAGCATGTCATTCAAAACAGTTCATTTGTCCCTTGCCCCATTGTCCTGCCATGGACAATGGGGCAAGGGTTGGCAAATGAGAAGGTGACAGCCTCAAGAGAACCCAAAGTAAAATAAATCCACAAGTAGGGACAAAGCAGGTAGCAGGGAGAAGAAAGGAAGAAGGAAGAATAATACTTGCTTCTCTAGCACCTACTATGCACTTTCTTATTTTCATAATAGACTTTCAAAGAAACTAGGGGGTTTAGGAAGGGTGAAGTGACTTGCCCATGGCCATTGACCCAGTTAGTGGCAGGGTTTAGGTTCTAATCCAAGGAGAGGCAACGTGGGGAACAATAAGTTTGAGAGCCTATGGATGGATTTAAGTAAAATTTCAGGCTTCCCATCATTCTGGGCTTCATTTTCCACATACTGAAAAAGAAGACAATCTTTCCATGCTGCTGTGGGAATCAAATGAGGTCATATATGTAAAAGCACCCAGCACAGGGCCCGGTATTTAGGTAAGTGCTCAAGTAATGTAATCTGCCTTGCCATATCTGACTTCGAAGTTCAAGCTCTTGGTCAAACAAGGCTCTGAACTCTTGGTAAAGTGGTCTATGCAGGACAGAGCCATGGGAAGAGGTGTGGAGTTAGGGAAGCAGGAGATAAGAACAGCGATTTTGGTTCTTCTACTCTAGGTGAGTCACTTTTAACCTCTTTGTGTCTATTTCCACATCTTGACAATGGCACTAATAATTCTTATCCTATCAAATCTCACAGGGTTACCATGAGAAGGAAGTGAGAGCTAATAAAAAGGGAAATTGCTGTGAACTGTTAGCTTTCTATACAAACACAAGGGACTATTAGTTTTGAGTGATAAAGAGAGAGCACTGCTCTCTCTCCGAGAACTGAATTGGGAGGTGGGCTTCTAAGAATACAGAAATAGCTGCCTGCAGGGAAACCTCCTCACAGGTAGAAGTCATATAAAACAACTCACGGACAAAAAAATTAGAACAGGAGCAATAATATCATTATTGAATACTTCTTAGAGCTTACATCAACAAATAAGAGACTACAATAAAATGCTAATTGAGAAGATGGCACTGTCCTGCTGATTTGATGATTTGTGTTTACCCAGCACAGTAAAAAGGATGGGTGATTCAAAAAGCAAACCCTCAGCATGCTATCAACATCTGGAAAACAAGCTATCCCTAATTTCCAGAGAAGCACCATATAATAATTAAAACTGTTCAATTTCAGCTCACTTTAGACAGAACCAAAAAAAAAAAAAAAAAAAAAAGCAAGAGACAATAATGATATTTTCATTTTAATTAAACTTTGAGTGCTACAGAAATGAGTGACAACCTATCCACCATTATAGCTTCAATATGAATAATAAAAACGAGTATGAATTCACCTTCACATCTTCATCCAGTTTCATAATCTTCTTAATACGCGCCAGTGGGAGTTCTTGTACTCGGAAATCCTTCTGAAATGAATAACAAGAGGCACATAAATGGTAGGGACAATCAGCAGGGCATGACAGGCATCATGAAACACTGTGATTGGCCTAGTCCCTCCTTTCAGAAAATACGGCAGGAGAGGAGGTACATATTAAATGAAGAGAATCCAAGTCCCAAAGCAAAATTCTTCTTACCCCATGCAGTGTTTCAAATAATTAAAGGGTTTCAAGATAAACTTACGATGCCATCTAACAGTGCCCTCATGAAAAGCAGGCCTAAACAATATCAGATTCTTTGCCGGCATAAAATAGAGATGCATTTTGAGCATCTCCTCTGTACTGCCCCCCAAAGTTTATCAGTCTACAATATGTAGGTTAAAATGAGATTTTTTCTGCAGGGGCATTCCTTTAAGTTGCCAGTTCTTTCTTCTATTCTGGGACTACAAGGGCAAGATACTGGCAGCACCAGATCACGGTCACCCACAGTTGTCTTCAGCCAGTCCTGGCTGACTATGGCTACTTCTGACCTTTGCACTAACCTGACACTGGAATTTAGAGAGGAGGGCCTTTCCTAACACAGCAGCAAAGGCCCTGTCTCCAAAGTATGCGTGGGGGTAGGGGGTGGGAGCAGAATAGTATGGTGAAAAAAAGGATGAATTTATTAGCTGCCTTTCAAGAACAGCCCTGGCACTTTTTTTCTAACAAGCAAGCCTGGACTGGGAGGAAACCACAGGACTTTATTGAGGCCAGGATTTAGGAAAGGGCTTTTTGACCAGCACTACTTCAGTTATTTGCGATTTAAGCCCTTTTTTAATTTTGATACTACTGGTACTCAAACACATGCCCAGTGATGGATGCAATTCTAGAAATAAAAATCGATTCTGGGTTTCACAGCTGCAGTGAAAAGAAAGGTGCAAAGGCAGAGACTGGCTAAAATCAGCAAAATCCCTACTGGGCCCAGGTGTCAAGTGCCTGATTCTGTAAGTGGTCTGAAATGTGACTCACCAAGCCCAAGGGGCTCTCCTGGGAATTTGCACCATCACATTATGGAAGGAGGAGCTAAGATTTGGTATAATAAATCTGTGTAAGTGAACTTTCTTTTCCAAGACCAACAGAAACCGTCAAAATATATGTCAAAGAAGGCAGTAGAGCCTTTTGGGAAAACGTCACCAGCCTCCCCAGAATCCATCTTTATGATTACAGAAGGAAGATGTACACTGAAACACCGGATTTCTCCTCACAAACCCAACAAGCGGCTTGGGACCACTCACCTCTACAAACCTCCAACATCAATTTTTTATCTTTTCCCTTTCCAGCTTACGTAAAACATTTCCCATGAAGCTTCTACTAAAACTAACCCTGGAGTGGCAGGGCTTTACAAGTCCAAATTATTAAAATCTCACCCAAAAAGAACAGCAGGATACATTCTTTCTACTCTTATTTTTTTTTCCTCTTCTTTCATTTCCTCATTCATAAGACTCAACTGAGAGTGAATGTATGATACCTGCTACTATGTAAAAGATGCAAATCTATTCTTACCTTTGAACAGATTATAGTTTATTAGAGACTGTCATATAAAAATATTATAACCCCCTATGCTATACTAGGTAGGGTGGGGGTGTAAAATCCCATAGGGACAAGAAAGGAAATAACCAGCTGGTGCGGCAGGGGGAAGGGTTGGAATGAACAAGAGGAGCTGGCAAATGTTCCACAGAAGGGTTGACATCTGAACTGTGTCTAAGGGATGTTTCAAAATTTGCTTGTTGGAAAAGTATGAAAATGTTATCCAGACAGAAGCAGAAGTACAGCAACACAAAAAACATGGTCTATTTAAGTTTTAGATGTATGATCTTAGTACAGAGGGGAGCAGCAGGAAAGGGAATGCTGGATTGGGGCCAGACCCTAAAGGGATTTAAAAAAGCGTTTACCACAGAAATCAATCACTGGTCTTCCTTCTTGTGTGGCAGATCACACAAAATGATGATGCTAAACAGAAATGGCAAGGAGAATGCTGGGGAATAACTCCTTTGAAAGGCCTCCCAGGAAGATACACACAGCACAAGATTATGACCACAAGGTCTAACTTGCTTGCACATGCACTCTCAGTGGGCTTGGTTATTTAATATATTTCTATATGACTGCGCTAAAGTTTCTTAACCAAAGCCCAAAGCTGGTAACCCCAACCCGAAACAGAATATTACTTTTAGAATTTCTGAGACTATTCAATCAAAAGCAACAGAAGGTCCCACCCTGTAGAGGTATAAAATAAGGCAGAAATTTACAAAAAACAAAAACAAACAAAACCCTGCTCTAAGTCTCTCCCTCAAAAACCTTTTCTTTCTGGAAACTTTCTCATGAGCCACAAACCTTGAGATCTCAAGGGGCAGTGTGTGAAAAGCAGATCTTCAGATGTGCATGTATGGTTCATTATCACTGACAACAGCCCAGTCTTCTATAATCTCATCCTAGCTTTCCAGTCGTATATGTGTATAAGGGTTTATGACCAACTTACTGAAGAGGGCAGCACTCTCACCAGCCATAGGTTGAGGTGCACTCAATTGTCTTTCAATTCAGTGACTCCTTGTCATTGGCAACCACACAACTGATGTGAATACCATTTAACTTCTGATGCTGATCCAAGTGGAAGAACAACTGACACATACTTTTTTTTCCTACCCTTGGGAGTGATATCAGCAAGGTGGAAGAACAGATTCTCTCTCAGAAAATGCTCGTGCTCCTGACCACAACCAAAGAACTACATTTAAAATGCTGCCATCTGAAACTGCCGAGTTTCAAGAAGTCTGAATTCACTCAATGAGAATCTGGAGCCAAGGAAAAGTCAATGGGTCTCAGGCTGCACTGAAGAACATCCGGAGTTTCAAATAATGATGAGAAACCTTTTCCAGGTCTACCCAGTCAGGCACTCTAGCAAAGTCAAGATTCTTTTTTTTTTTTAATAAATTAATTTTTATTGGTGTTCAATTTACCAACATACAGAATAACACCCAGTGCTCATCCCGTCAAGTGTCCCCCTAAGTGCCCGTCACCCATTCACCCCCTCCACCACCCCTAGTTCATTTCCCAGAGTTAGAAGTCAAGATTTAATCCTCTCCAAAGCAGTGATTCTCAACCTTGGCTGCCCGTTAGAAACACCTGGGGAGCTTTTGAAAAACAGGAGGACTGGGCTCTGGGCTCTACCCCAGAGTAACTGAACCAGGAATTCTAGGAGGTGGAGTCAGGCATCAAGTGTCTTGAAAACTCTTCTGATGACTCTGACCCACAGTGAGGGTTAAAGCCTTGCAACTCTAAGTAAGGTCCTTAGGCCAGCAATGGCATTACCAGGAAACTCAAAAGAAATGCAGAATCTCAGGTTCCACTCCAAACATACTAAATTAGAATCTGTATTCTAACAAGATCCCCATGTGGTTCATACAGACAATAAACTTAGCAGCATTGCTCTATAGGAAGGGCTCAAATAGCACAAGACTTATTTTCTAACAGTCTACCAACCTTCATTTCCAAACTCCTGTTTAAATAGTTACCTGGTTTTAAAAAAAAATGAAATAAATAGTTACCTGGTTTGACTGTAATGTTAGAAATGTCATTGTCCAATCGGAAGACACCAAAGAATAAAAAGATGTACCTGGCAATTAAAAGAAAGTTGTGGCCTAGGCATCAAATTACAGCTAACTGAAGGCTAAAAGGGATAGGGATGATCCTTTTTTTTTTTTTTAAGATTCAGCATTGTTCCTCCCCACCTTCCCCCAAAAATACAAAGTTAGCTTTTTCTTCCCCACTTTCAAAGAGGTCTTCAGAGGAGTAAAACTCAATGCCAAGAAGTCTGTTAATTATTGTTCCCAGAGTTCTGTTGAACAGGAATACAGTATTTTGCACAATCATCCAAATGTACAATCATTTCGGTATGATTTTTAACCAACTTCAATCCCAACTGAACATCACCTGGATTTATGGACAATTACAGAGCCTTTTAAGAGTGAGAAGAACATAATGGCCAAGAAGAGATGAAAGATAAATTGCTTTTGCAAAGCTCAGACCAAAATAATTGAGGATTGAGGCCAGTGTTTCCAATACATCATGAAATATATCATCTAGCAAACTTCAATTTGTTTTTGGAGCAATCTTTGTCCCAGTCAGAGAAAACACAATACCTTATGAACATTCTCAAAAGTTTAATTTATGTTTGGACAGTTTGAACATATGGATTTTTTAAAAATCTGTTAAGACATTTTGAGATGTCAACCTAAGAGACTCTGACATATCTGAATTCTGGTTGTAAATGCTGCTGAGTTCTGGAAAGGCACAGACTAAATGCTCAAATATCTGGCCATGTTATATAGGCTGGGGTGCAGAGCAGCAGATGCCTTCATGTGCCAAAGGCAGAAGTAAAAATAAGAGTGTTACAAAGGGAAAGAGCACCCCAACTTTCCCAGACTGCACTCTCTAAGTTGGCCCTGATGTTGCTTTAGACTAAATCTGAGGTGGAGGAGTCTGATTCCTACAAATATGTATTGTATACCTATTAAATGCCAAACTTTATTCTAACTCTCTGATGTTAGAGATCCCATGGTAGTGATCTAGCAGTTTTGTCAAGTGGAGAAAACTACTGTCATCAATAAAACAATCATTAAAGACAACTACCTCCTTGCTGGTCTTTCTCTTCATTCATAAAACATAACAATCCCTCAAAGTAACCCACTTTGAACCTCTGGTAGACTAGCTAGCTGTCTAAATAATAAGTAAAAGTTGGTCAACAGCACAATCTGTTTTGGCAATCAAACTTGAAAATTAAGCCAAGCAGAATAAAAATCAAAGCTGAGTCTCAAAGAGATATCTGAATACCCATATTCATAACAGCACTATTCACCATAGCTAAGAGATGGAAGTAACCCAAATGCCCACTGACAGATGAATGGATAAACAAAATGTGATACACACATACATATGGAATACTAGTCAGTGTTAGAAGGGAAAGAAATTCTGTTACATGCTACAACATGGATGAACCTTGAAGACATGCTAAGTGAAATAAGATAGTCACAAAAAGACAAATATTGTATGATTCCACTCATATGAGGTATTGAGAGTGGCCAAATTCAGAAACAGAAAGTAGATGGTAGTTACCAAGGGCTAGGGAGACAGAAAAGATAGTTATTGTTTCAGAAGTATAGAGTTTCAGTTGTGCAAGATGAAAAAGTCCTGGAGATCTGTTTCACAAGAATGTGACTATATTTAACACTTTTGAATTGTACATTTTAATTTAAATTGTTAAGATGGTATATGTTCTGTTATGTTTTTTACAATTTTTAAAAAATTAAAACTCAAAACAGAAAAGTTAAGTGATGAACTTGAACCTTTGGAGTTTATCTGGCCACTTGCCTGATCCTGGATTTTTGCTTCAATGTTCAAACTGGAGTGCAGACTTGCAGCACTGCCCTAATCCCACACAGCTCAGGAGGGCGCTAGCTTTATGCCAGGCTGACTCCTGCCCTAAAACTTGATAAGCTTAGAAGATTACCCACTCAAAATATGAAAATACTCTAGTTTTTACTTAATCATTTCTTTTCCTCCTCTCTCTTATATCTGAGACAATATAGATAACTACCACCTTTACACTTATAGAAAAGAAACAATGATTTTTCAGTGGAAATTGATCTGTGAACACAAGCCACTCTGAGAAAGGTCAAGTTCAGTTGCTGAAAATGTCCCATTATAAACAAACATGACCCACAAGTACATCAAAATATGAATCTTTTTTTGTTTTATCCCTGAAGTCAGTGGGGCATTTACCTAATGAGTAGTTATTTTATTCACTCATTACCTGTTTATAGTCTATCTCCCCCACCAGAAGAATGCATGTTCTGTGAGTGCAATGATCTTCTCTGGCTATTTCACTACTGGATTCACAGTATCCAGCACAGCGACAGTAGGTATATAAGTATTTACTGAGTAAACAAATACACTGACCTCATATGTCTGAAGTTTAAAGGCCACTAGCTCTAAGAAAGTGTAACATTAATTCTACATTAGGAAGGAGTCCAGTGTCTGCTCTGCCAGGATACTTAATGCCTTCAGGGCAGGAATGACACATCTAAAACAGAAAGATCTTTCAGTATTTCCTAAATTGAGACCAAACGGGATTGTCTTCATTAAGGAAATTACACTCTGAAGATACTCTAATTCTAATGTGTCACCTCCTGCTACCACTGTCATACCACTCTACTCCTACTCCTGCCACACTATCCACATAGTAGTCCCCAGCCCCTCTGAATTTCTTGTTGTTCCTCAAAACATAAGGCCCTCTCCTCTGGGCCTCCAGGCTTTAGAAATGCCATTCTCTTTTCCTCAGATTCAGCTGCCTATCCTTTCCATCTGGTGAATGTTTCTCAATATTTCAAGATCCAAAAAAAATGTCACCTTTACTTAAAGCCCCCCTAACTCAACCAGGGAGGAATAAACACTATGTCCTCTGTAATCCCATAGCACTTTGATTTTTACTGCTTCAGACTCCTCACTATGCCTCAGTAAGTATTTAATAAATATTCACTGAATAAATAACCCTGGTTATAATTTTTTTTTTTTTAAGATTTATTCATTTGAGAGAGAGAGAGAAAAAAACAAGCCAGGGGGAGCTGCAGGCAGAGGGAGAGGAAAAAGCAGATTCCCTGATGAGCAGGGAGCTCAATGTGGGGCTCCATCCCAGGACCCTGAGATCATGACCTGAGCCAAAGGCAGCCACTTAACTGACTAAGGCACCCAGGTGCCCCAACTCTGATTGTAATTACCAGATTGTAAGTTCTGCAAGGGCCAGGGTTATATTTGATTCTTCTAAGTCAGTGGTTCTCAATGAGATGACTTTAGTTCCCAAGAGACATCTGCCAATGTCTAGAGACATTTTTGGTTATCACAACTGGAGGAGGATTGCTACTAGCATGTAATAGGTAGAGGTCAGAGATGCTGCTAAACATTCTACAATGCATGGGACAGCCCCTCGTGACAAAAAATTATCCAGCCTAAAATGTGAATAAAGCTGCTATTGAGGAACCCTGATCTAAGTGTATCTTTTAGCTCCCAGAAAGAGTGCCTGCTTACAGAAGATTTGCTGTTGAATAAATTGCCCAACAGCGTTTACCAGATTCTAAAAATCCGGCAGGGCCACTGAATCAGGACTAAGAAATGAGCTACAGCTACTGAAGGAAGGTAAGAGTTCTGCTTTTCTGCATCTCTAAAAGATATGCCTCACATTAAGCTACTGCCTCTGAGTCAAAGCATCCACTATACACCCACATGCCTAAGTAAAGACACTAAGACATTAAAAAAAAAATCCTTGTAGTCACTTCAACTAAGGTAAATTATATTTTCATGTTCACACCCAGAGGTCAAGAATGAACTGTGCCTATGTGCTTGAGACTAAAAATGTTTCACTCTATGGGACACCTGGGTGGCTTAGCAGTTGAGCACCTGCCTTTGGCCCAGGGCGGGATCCTGGAGTCCCAGGATCCGGTCCCACATCAGGCTCCCTGAATGGAGTCTGCTTCTCAATCTGCCTAGGTCTCTGCCTCTGTGTGTGTCTCTCATGAATAAAATAAAATCTTAAAAAAAAAAAAAGTTTCACTCTAAGTATTGGTTATTCATCTGATAGCCCTTTACACTCTGCAAGTTTCTCACTCTTTCTTACCACTGTTAAATTCCGAATTTCTTCCATGACACGAGGCCAGAAGGACTGTAGGCTTTGCTGGGCATCACTGCTGCTAGTACCACCAAATCCTCCTTCTGTGGACATTTTGACAACTGAAAACAAATACACACATGAAATACATTAGAAGTAATAAAGACAGACTTTCTGTCCAGGTCATTTATATCTCTCCTTATGGCTGTTTTCACTAATTCATTCAATTTTTCAATCTGAGAAGGTATATAATTGTGCTGAAGAGGTTTTTAAACATAGACTTAAATGTTAGCAAAAACAGGGAAGAAGTTTCCCCTTCTATCCAACTCATACCACAGAGACTATCAGGGAGCTCTCACTAGAAAATATAAAATTACCAGAAATCCAAACTGAAATCTTAATGTGAAACAAGGCTTTTAATGTCTTATCTTAGGAAGAGACAAAAAGGGCACTTGGTTGCTGCCCTAGTCTGGTCCATAATTTTCAATGCTATTTCTTCCAGTGTTTTTTTAAGTTCACCATGGTTTCTCATACTCCATGCCACAGCCTGCAGCAGATATATTAAAGGTCTCAATGACTAATACTGTATAGAAATGTAACCCAAGTTTTAACAATAAGCGCCCATTTTATTCTTTTGTTTTAGACACCGGGGCCCCATTTCTTTGAGGCTACTGAAGATTATTATTTCTTCTAATCTCAAGCTAATCTGCTTCAGAGGACAGAGAAGTGCTAAAGCCTTGGCCAATAATTCAGTGGGTACACTAATTCTCTGAACTGAAACAACTTCCCAATTCTTTCCTTACCTGAACCTTTCTGTTAGGACCAAAGCCAAAGCACACCATCAAATGGAAGCCTTAAGGTCATTGAAAACAATAGGGAATTAAATTTAGGATAGAGAAAAGAATCAGAACTTGCATGTGGTCAATTGCTTTTGGGAATGACAAGGGAAAATGAATGAGGATCCCAGTATCAGTTTTAACTGTAGATAATATTGTAAGTCTTACAAGACTTACAGGGAGAAAGTAAAAAACTCCAGATGGCTTAAATGCTTATCTGGCAAATACTTAAATGCAAGAAACAGTTTAATTAAACACAAAGAATAAGAAACTTAGTGATGTCCTAAGAATTTCTATTCTGGGAAATTATTTTAAAAGGTTTAAATGCCAGTGACAGGATGCTGGCCGAGAGCTATGTAAATCATTAAGAACTAATTCTGAAAGGCTGAGAGAAAAGTACCAAAGCCAGGTGTCACATGACTAAACGTGTTCCTTTCCAAAGCCCATGAGGACACATGCTGGGCAGATCATTCTCCGTCAGCAGAGTGGAATGAAGACTGATAAATCTGGGTTTAGACTGTGAGGATGTTTGATTCCCTCTTAAATGTTTGCCTGGGATTGTCCTAGAGGTCCCCCTTTTTTTTTTTCTTTTTCCTTCTAAAGGAAATGATGAGAGGAAAGAGATGGAAGGAAAACAAGAATACAATCTTCAAAGCAGATTTCACTCTGTTGTAATGACATTAGTAGGTGATGATGTAATGGGAAAAGATTTGGAGCCAATTTCTGGTGCTGGAAGCCAACAAGCAGCTCTATACATCAACAGGAACTCTTAAGTACTGGGAAGCAATATGATCTTGGAGTTTCTGGAGGGAATTAAAGTGAAGAGTGTTGAATTATAATTGAAATAACTAGATAAAAATTTCAGTCCCCAAAACCAAGTATGGTCCCATGATATTTTCATTCATCACCATATGCATGCGGCCTATACACTATTCTCTTAGATGTACTGAGAATAAATCAAAGTTTATCTTTATTAATAAAGACATAAGGCTCTGATGACAATGAAGAGAGACTCAATCTTTTAAAATGGAGCAAACAAAAAAATCTTTCTAGAAATAAAAATAAATATCAAAAACTTAAGAATCTAACCTTTTATTGTATGGATCCATGGATAGCTCTGATCTTAGCAAAATTTGCCACACAAACTGCCACAGTCAAAGGAGGAAGATGCATATTGTTGCCAAAGATATCTTTGTATACTTGCTAATGATGGGTAGGTTCAGTTTGAGTGAGATTTAGAAAGTTGGTAACAAGTTTTGGTTGTTCCCTAATCTGTTCTAACATTCCAAAGGCACACAATTCAAGAAGCACCACTAAATTTTCTGTGTACGGTCTGCTTTTAAATTTTGAACTATCCCAACTAAGGATGTGCTGGTGTGATCAGTTCCCAAACATCTGTGCAGTCAATAGACCATGAATGAATCTGGTTGGTTCAGAGCCACACACTGGTGGGAGTGAGGGTTAGGTACAAAACAGAAGCTAACAAGTCTTTCTGGAACTGAGTAATGTATTAAAAGTTAAAATTTTAACTTCAGAGGCCCATCTGCACTAGAAAATCACAAATAGTTAATGGCAAAATATACAAATCAATAATAATGTCCTTTATATTTTATTGCATCATAAAAGTTTAGGACTTTAAAAAAGACATCAGAGTCCCTAAGCCTCACTCCTCTAAAAGTATGCTCACAGCTCTATTTCAACCTCTGCCAACCCCCTCCCATCCCAAGTGGTCATTCAGCTTCAAGTATGCAGTATCTCCCTCCCTAGTTCTGGGAAACTGGCTTACTGGTAAGGTGCTCTTTTCCATCTTTGGACAGCTCTGACTGTTCTTTACATTAAATTATATTTGCAAAGTTCCATCTGAGCTTTGGATTTAAAGTTACAGCCCTATGGTTTTTTCATCCAGAAACCTCTTTTTATAAATTCCTGACTTCAAAAACAAAAGTATTCTCATCAGAAACAGATGATCTTCTCATGAGGAACATGATTTCTAGTATCTTTGCACAGAGATGATTAGCAGGTAATTCTTTTTAATACCTCCTGCAAGAACATAAATTGCTACTATAAAACAGAAAAGGTGACTACTTTTATTCAAAAGATTTTCCTTGGGATGCCTGGGTGACTCAGTTGGTTGAGCAGCTGACTCTTGGTTTCGGCTCAGGTCATGATCTCATGGTCATGGGATCAAGCACTGCTTTAGGCTCTGGGCTCAGTTGAGAGTCTGCTTGTGGATTCTCTCTCTCCCTCTGCCCCTCACTCACTCACTCTCTAAAATAAATAAATCTTAAAAAAAAAAAAAGTTTTCCTTAAAACAGATTCAGCCATTACATGGGGCTTTAAAAAATTAAACCAAACCTCAAGCAAAATATTTTATAAACACAAATTGGTGTTCTCACTATTTTCTAACTGAGGCACAGGATTAAAACAACTAAACCTAATCAGTAAATTTTGCTCACTAAACAGCCCAACAAGTTAAAAATATAAACCAACCTTAGTTAATCTTTTTTTAAATAAAGATTTTATTTATCTGACAGAGAGAACGAGCAGGGGGATTGGCAGGCAAAGGGAGAGGGAGAAGTAAGCAACCCACTAGCAGGGAGTCCAATGCAGGGCTAGACCCCAGGACCCAGAGATCATGACCTGAGCCAAAGGCAGATGCTTAACTGACTGAGCCACCCAGGCACCCCAACCTTAGTTAATCTTATCACTTCTTACTTTAGTACTTAAATACATTAATTGCAACTAAGTTGATTTTGCTACAGAAGTAGTCTATAACATTTACAGCTCATGAAATATGTGCCAGATCCATTTTCTAGGGTAATGAGAGAAGGTATGTAATTTAAAAGTAAGAAAGATTTATATTTCAGTATCCCTTTTGTTTTTGTTTTGTTGTTTTGTTTTTTGAGAGAGAGAGCAAGAGAGCCAGCACGAGTGTGGAAAGGGGCAGAGAGGGAGAAGAAGCAGACTTACCTACCTCTAAGCGCAGAGCCCAACACTGGGGCTCAATCCCAAGACCCTGAGATCATGACCTGAGCCAAAGTCAGATGCTCAATGAACTGAGCAAGTCAGGCACCGCCAGGATCTTTTTTATTCCATGTTAAATTGCTATTTCTAATAGCTATCACAGTTGACAACAAAACTGCTTAAGACCAAGCTGCATTAGGTTTAGATCACTCATGAAACATGCAGCATAGGGGCACCTGGATGGCTCAGTTAAGCATCCAACTCTTGATCTCAGTTCAAGTCTTGATCTCAGGGTCATGAATTCAATCCCCAGCATGGAGCCTACTTTAAGCAAACAAAAACAAGTGACTTTTGGGGCACCTGGGTGGCATAGTTGGTTAAGTATCTGACACTTGGTTTCAACTCATGCCCTGATCTCAGAGGTGAAGCCCTGTATCAGGCTCCTTGCTCAGCAAGGAGTCTGCTTGAGATTCTCTTGCCCTCTCCCTTTGCCCCTCCCTCTAAAATAAATAAATCTTTTTAAAAAAATGTGGCATAGAATTTCCCAGATTTAACTCATCGTTGAAATTAGATTTATCATTCATGTTCATTAATTACTTTATAATACTTGAATAAGATGTTTATTTAATAAAGACATTAGGATCAGATGAAGTATCAAATGGTTGTTGCCAGAAGTAATCTCAACTCCCAGTATCTATTAATTTATCTCCTTTTAAAAACAGTTTGCTTTCCAAAGCTAGAAGGGGGAACACTCAAAGTCCATCACAAAAAGGCTATTTCTCCAAAGCTCAACTTCAACTGCCATCTGTCCACAAGTCATCTCTAAACATCCCCACCCAGACATGATCACTCCTTCCTGTGAACCTTCAGAGCCCTTGATCTGCACCTCTCTGCCTTCACCACATCATCTTGTATGATCATTATTTATGTGTATGTCTTATCGTATTTCCCCTTCTGGTTTACAAGCTCCTTGTGGGTAGGACCTGGGATCCCTCACAGCATCTAGCACATAGTCTGACCAATTACTTCTGAATGAAGGGACAAGACAGGTGCTAGGTACAGCCTTTCTAAGAAAAAGAGGTCTCTTGGAAAGGCTAGCCCTGAAATAGACTTAATGGGATTGCCTGAACAACTAAAGGAAGTGGTTATACAAGCTATTCTGGAAAGCTCAGAATAAATGAGGTCCTCTCTAGGCCTTTAAAATAAGGACAACAATCAGAAATCCACCTGAAACTGACTTACTGAAGCGAATTTAAGATAAAAGGATAGGTTAGGAAGGCCACATGCGCGCGCACGCACGCACACACACACACATACACACA